CTAAGTATTCTGAGCCTCCGTTTCCTCCTTTATAAATTTGGAGTAATCATAATGCCTACCTCAAATACTGGCTGGAGTGTGGGGCATGGGCTAGGGCAAGCAGGAGGGACAACAGGCACTCCTGGTGTCTTTCAGATGGTATTATTGAGAAGGGGTCCACTGAGGAAAGAAAGGCTGAGTGAACTTGCCCAAAAATGAGAAGGAAGCTTTGAGATTAGGGGAAAATGGAGAAAGAGGAGTACTGCTGAAAAAGAAGAGATGGTTCTTAAAAAAGGGTATGTTTAGGAAGTTTTATAAAGTAAACCTTCCCTTTGCTCCCAAAATATGTAGAAAAATCTATACTTTTTCAACATTTTAAAGATGGGGTTCTGGGATTTTTTTGGGGGGGATGGGGAGGGATACAATAACATACTGAGATTGCCTTCACAGAAAGAACAGGGAGGCCCAAGGAGACTGAGGTACATTGGAGTCACATGAGAATTACATAAGGTGATGCAAGAAAGCACCAGGCACATGTCATGTAATCAATAAATATAAATATTTATTTTATAATTTATTTATTTGAGAATATAAATAAATATTCTCAATTTTGAGGAGGGGAGGAAAATGAAATTCAAATAGTTTAAATGACTTGCACAAGGTCACCATGCTAGTGATCCTGGTTTAATGTTTTTTCTCTGATCTTACTGACTTTTAATTTATGCTAATGATGTTGAATAAGTAGGCGATATCCTTAGAGAATAAACTGACTTCATTTATAAGACTACAAATGTTCTAAGGTAACTTTTTTTTTTTTTTTTGAGACAGAGTCTCACTGTGTTGCCCGGGCTAGAGTGCCATGGCGTCATCCTAGCTCACAGCAACCTCAAACTCCTGGGCTCAAGCTATCCTCCTGCCTCAGCCTCCCGAGTAGCTGGGACTACAGGCATGTGCCACCATGCCTGGCTAATTTTTTCTATATATTTTTAGTTGTCCCATTAATTTCTTTCTATTTTTAGTAGAGACGGGGTCTCGCTCTTGCTCAGGCTGGTTTCGAACTCCTGACCTCAAGCAATCCACCTGCCTCGGCCTCCCAGAGAGCTAGGATTACAGGCGTGAGCCACTGCGCCCGGCCTAAGGTAACTTTTTGTTTTAGCAAAACAAATATACAAATGAAGTAGTTGGCATGGTCTTATTTGTTGCTCATCTTATTATTTGCCCTTGTGTGGCACTTTACATGCTGATACTTTGACTTTTTAGTCTCCAGGCTTTCATCAACTGGATCATTCCAGTTCTAAAATCTGTATCCGAAAGCCTTGACTAGGAGCTATTGCTCTGTTGTAACGTACGGCAGATCCTCGCCTCTATAATTTTGGTTCCTTTTTAATACAATGTGCCATCAAGTAAAATGCATGGGATATAAGCCTCAATTATTGTCAGTGTACTTGGGGACTCATACCAATTATAGTGATATTCCTCTGACAGGCTCCAGGCAAGCTGCAGCTTGGAGTTCCTCAACACTGAGAAACAAAGATATTTTCTTTATGGGAGGTTTTCTAATAGCATTTGAAATCCTTTAGTTTAAAACTGCTCTGGTTTTTTTCAGTTAGTGGTGGCAACTTTTGTGCTTTATATGAAGACATGCATTTAATTTGTACTCTTATAGTTTAATATACTAATTATAATTTAACATACTACTCATAGTGAACCTTATTTTTTTATAACTTGGCTAGGTGGAGGAGATGATGTTTCAGCACAGACTTACCCAGTACAAATACTAGCCTTTGTTATGTTCTCTAGCTCTCAACTTAGCTCACTTCATCATACGTCTCCTCCCCATTCCACCTCCCTCTTCAATTACTTCCTTTCTGTCACCTCTCTTTTTCTCCTCTCATTGTCTTACTGGAGTTGATTCAAAATGGTTTTACTCTTTTTGAAACTTTCTACAAATATAAGAAGAAGAACCCCTACCTGACCTGATTTCCAGTGATTTTCTTTGCCTTTTAACTCTAGAGTGACAGTTTTGGCCTCTTCAATGTTCCCTCCCCACACCTGAAGAAAGAACATTCCTCTTTAACTTGTACTGTTTTATTTGAATACAACCCACTTCCTCCCTCTGAGCCAATGAGTCATTTTGTCTTTTTAAAGCGAGCCTTAAAAATCTTCCATTTCTCTTCAGTTTAAAATTGTTCTCTTTGTGAAGTACTTCATGTTCTATGCATGTAAGACACCCCATAAAACAGAGAAGATTGCCTTAACGACTCGAGGACTATACTATAGATAATGTATGACACACCAAGACTAAAATTTTGAGTTGAATGGACATCATTTATTTTTCTTCTTTATGGAGGCAAAGATTTTTCTCTTTTGTTCACTAGTGAATTCCCAGAATCTTGTTACTGAGCAGATTTTCAATAAATATTTGTTGAATGAATAAACGATTGATTTCTCCCTCCTCAATCTTTTTAACTCACTTAATAACATTTGTACAGTTAATATTTTCATATTGGAATCTCTTGTAACTAAGTAGAAAGTACTCATAAAAGGGTACTGAAAGTGAGAGATATATCAAACTGCAGAAAATGCAGCAATATTGTTAGGGTAAGTTTCCAAAATGCCTAAAAGGCCAGGTGAGGTGGCACTCGCTTGTAATCCTAGTACTCTGGGAGGCCGAAGCAGGAGGATGGCTTGAGGCCAGGAGTTCAAGACCAGCCTAAGCAAGAATGAGACCCCAGACCCCATCTCTACAAAGAGTAGAAAAATTAGCCAGGTGTGGTGGCTCGTGTCTGTAGTCCCAGCTACTTGGGAGGCTGAGGCAGGAGAATCGATTGAGCCCAGGAGTTTGAGGTTGCAGTGAACTATGATGACACCACTGCACTCTAGCCCAGGCTACAGAGCAACACTCTGTCTCAAAAAGAGGAGACACATTCATTTCAGTACAATTTACAGAATTTATACTCGCATATCAAATATCTTCTAACACATATGTCAATGACTCATTCTATCTACTACTATATGATGTATTGCCTTGGTTTTAGAGTAATATCACTTTGTATTGCAACCATCAGAGTAATAATTAATTTAGGTAAGAATCTTCAACAGATATTAAAACAAATGGATGAAAGCTTACTGCAGAACAAGATATTTACACAGTCTCAAGTATCATCCCACAAATTACTTATTAATACAAAAGGGAATTTTTGTAATTCTCTTTTATAATGGAGAAATATTGTGAATACCATCTTAATAACATGATCAAACTTAACATCACTATTAATGGGACAAACTGCCATCATGTGCCTCCTGATATAATATACTGAGAAGGCCATAAAATTGCTTATGTAGTTTTTCACCATAGTGTTTAACATTTTTTAAAAATCCAGATCCCAATACAATAACATTTCAAATAATAAGAAAAAAAATTGCAAAAACAGTTGGCCTGGGCCGGGCGCGGTGGCTCACGCCTGTAATCCTAGCTCTCTGGGAGGCTGAGGCGGGCGGATTGTTTGAGCTCAGGAGTTCGAAAACAGCCTGAGCAAGAGTGAGACCCCGTCTCTACTAAAAATAGAAAGAAATTAATCAGCCAACTAAAAATATATAGAAAAAACCTGTAGTCCCAGCTACTCGGGAGGCTGAGGCAGAAGGATTGCTTGAGCTCAGGAGTTTGAGGTTGCTGTGAGCTAGGCTGACGCCACGGCACTCGCTCTAGCCAGGGCAACAAAGCAAGACTCTGTCTCAAAAAAAAAACAAACAAAAAAACAGTTGGCCTGTACTCTTCAAAAATGTCAATGTCACAAAAGTCTAACAAAGGTTGAGGAGCTGTACTGATTAAAGGAAACTAAAAAGACATGAATACTACATGCAGTGCATGATGTTCAATTGATTCTGAATTGAAAGCAAAACAAAAAACTCCCAACAACTATAAAGGATATTATTGGGACAACTGGATATACTTGAAACAACTGTATATTAAATAACATTATTATGCCAATGTTAAATTCCCTGAATGTGATAATTATATTATAGTTATGTAGAAGAATGTTTTTGTTCTTAGAAGAGATATGCTGAACTATTAAGAGGTGAAGTGTCATGATATCTGCAAATAATTCTCAATGGTTCAGGAAAAACCTCTCAAATGGTTCACAAAAAACATACATATCTATGTATGAGTATGTGTGTGTATTTGTAGAGACAAAGAGCTTTTATACATACACACATCCAAACACACACATGAGAGAGAGAAAGATGGCAAATGTTAACAATTAATTAACCTGGATAAATGACATATGTGTATTCATTGTACTAATCTTGCAACTTTTCTCTGGTTAAATAATTTTGTAAATAAAAAGTTGTTTAAAAACATCTTTTAAAAAGCATTATCATAGGCCGGGCAAGGTGGCTCACACCTGTAATCCTAGCACTCTGGGAGGCCGAGGCAGGAGGATCGTTTAAGGTCAGGAGTTCGAGACCAGCCTGAGCAAGAGAGAGATCCGATCTCTATCAAAAATAGAAAAATTAGCTGGATGTGGTGGCACACGTCTGTAGTTCCAGCTACTCAGGAGGCTGCAGCAGGAGGATCCCTTGAGCCTGGGAGTTTGAAGTTGCAATGAGGTATGATGACACCACTGCACTCTAGCCAGGGCGACAGAGCAAGACTCTTTCTCAAAAAAAAAAAAGCACTATCATAAATTCAGGGTTATTGTGATTGCTTATTCAGACATATGTTGCTCAAAATTTTTGATGGTGGCAACAAACCTTTCTTTGAATTTTCTGTTTTTACTATCCTGCTTTAGCTCTCCATGACTTTCTATGCCCTGCCAACTTTCAGAATCATCAATAGTCATGTCGTGTCAAAAAATTCTGCATACAGGAGACTTCTCTCACAGGCCTCTTTTTTTTTTTATTGCACTGTGCAATAAAGTGATTTGCGATACTTTTGTGCCCACATAAAGATTATTCTACATTCAAACCCTCTTGATGTTAACCTCTGTGAAATACAAAAGTAGAATATTGAAGCTTACGTCATAGTTGCTCCTGGATCAGCAGTCATTTGATTGGTCACAAAAACAGCTACATTGTATTCTGCATCAAGAAATAAATTAAGAAATTATGAGAAGGGCAACATAAATATAAAAAGTTCATTGTTTAGATTTCAGAGTTTAGAAATATTGCACCATGTATTTATTTCATAAACAAGATCATATTCTTATTTTTTCACTGATAACAGAAATTAATTTATTTAAAGCTATTATTATTGTTGCTGTTTGGGCTAGAATCCTTATTTATGGTTTAAAAAAACAGTTGTATTCTCATGAAGGTAATTTTATTTTTTTAAAAAGTACGGACTCCTGACATTATTCTTAAGCTTCTCTGCAAAGGATACTCAGCAAACATAGTCACAGATGCCATTCTGATAGTTCCATTTTATTTTAAAGATATACCTTCTGAGATTTTTTGGAGTCGTGACAACATCTGGGCCAATTTTTGCTGCCGTTCAGCCAACTCCCCACGACCACTGAAATCCACTCGAAAAAGTGCCATTATTGAATCAATGATCTGCACAGGATTAATTTAAAAATAATATGCATTTTGAAATGGAAGGAATAAGTTAATTGGAATAGGGATCAATAGAAGAAAAATAATATGCTAAATAGCTCTGTGAGTGAGCAATATTTAAAAGCTTGTACCAATAGCTTGAAAATGCCAGCTTCTTCATGGAATTTTGCTGCTACATAATCAAGTAGCTCCATCTGATGTTCACCTGGTGGGAAATGCAGTGAGAAAATGTTATAAAAGTTAGAAGAAGCAGAGGCTAAGATCATTCATGTCCTTGGGAACCAGGCAAAAGAGAGTCCTTGAAGGATACTCTTAATTATTTATGATTTTATTAAATATGATTGTATATTCTACCTTAGCATACATGTCAAATGCTACATTACTAAAAAGAATGTTACTCTAAATTTCAAAGACAAAGAATAAGAAATAATTTGAGATATTAAAATTTGCATTTTAATATCTAAGGACTTAACAGACGATAAAATTTATGGACTGACTAAATTAATTTGGAGAAAAGTAAAATAAAAAAAGGACAGTGTCAAAATGTTGTATCACTCAAATAGTATATCAGTGCTGCAAACCTTACATAACTCAAGCATCCCACTGCATGGGGCTCTTACTAGTATATGCACGTGCATAAAGCACATTGTCCAGTACTGCATCATGGTCTACATTGAAGCGATCAGCAATATCCCGAAGGCGATCTGGACGGCTGGAGTATTAAGATTAAGGATTCAATAAATCAATTTCACAAAAAGTTTAGACAATAACTACAAAACATAATATCTTAAGTAAGTAAATTAACACAGAGGCAAAACAATGTACCTGCAAAGGTATTCTGGAGGATGCTAGTAATCACTTAAAGTCTACACCAGATTTTATTTTTCAGAAGTGCTTCTGTTTAGGTAGTGACAATGGTCATAGAAATGGTGAGGCAGTAATGAATTTAAACATTAAATTATCTTTACAACAACCTTGGAAGCTAGTTCTTATGGCCTATATTACATTTTACATCTGAGGGCACTGACAAACAGAGATTAGGCAAATGGGATTATGTAGCAAATCAGTTACAATAGAAAAACTAAAAACTAAAGTTTGTGAGCTGCCTTTTTTCTTTCTCAGTTCTATAAAAATAGATCTATTATAGAAAGATAATATCACTGAATTATAATTCAGTCACTTCAAAGTGAATTAATTCACTCTCTTCGTACTAATCTGTTCAATGTGAACTAGTTTGATATACCATTAATCAGGTACTGCCAACAAATGATAAATTTGTCTACATGAACCAAAGGGTCAAAAAAGTAACTTCAAGGATCCAATGGATTTTGGTTTATATAGGGTTTAAAATCCACCTTCTTCTAAAGGAGTTGTTAGCTTTCTAAAATTAGTAAATTCATAGGGAGGCAAATTCAGGATACCTACAAAGGTATTCTGGAAGATGCTACTTATATTCATAAACTATAAAGGAGTAATAAGTTTTTTTTAGATCTTTGTTGATCCCAACAATATGTCTGATGTAAAATGAGGTAAAATAAAATGCCTGTTTGTAGTCCCATTTCACTTTGTTTATACTGTTTACATAACACTGATTATATTATAAGTAATTGTAAAGCAAGGACCATTGATAATCTTATTTGTGATACTTGCAATGAATTCAATAAATGTTGGATTGGACTATCATTAGGATTTCCCAGCCATCTATATCCTAATACATTATGTATGTTCTTGTCTTTAGAGCTTCAGTGACAGCCACTAAAATCTTACATTGCTATTGGGTATACACAGTAGATGTTTTCGGTAGACAAGTCAAAGAAGACAGGGAATTGGAAAGGGCAATAAAAATGTTTTTTTTTTTTGAGACAGAGTCTCGCTCTGTTGCCCAGGCTAGAGTGCCGTAGAGTCAGCCTAGCTCACAGCAACCTCAAACTCCTGGGCTCAAGCGATCCTCCTGCCTCAGCCTCCCGAGCAGCTGGGACTACAGGCATGTGCCACCATGCCCGGCTAATTTTTTATATGTATATTTTTTTAGTTGCCCAGCTAATTTCTTTCTATTTTTAGTAGAGATGGGGTCTCAATCTTGCTCAGGCTGGTCTCGAACTCCTGAGCTCAAATGATCCACCCACCTCGGCCTCCCAGAGTGCTAGGAGTATAGGCGTGAGCCACCACACCTGGCCAAAAATGTTTTTCACATATCAGTTTCTACAAATCCCAGACACTATGTGACCAAGAGTGTAAAAATTGGGCTGAAGGGAAGTCCAAATCAATCTATAAATATTTTTTAACTGATTACCATATGGAATTGATTACCATATTATCCAACTACCAAGGCAATGCATTATGGAGGATCTAAGGAGTCATAATCTATGCCCTAATTAAGGAGACAAAATATAAACATGTAAAAAAGAAAAATATCAAGACATAGCAGTGTCAGTGTGAGAGACATGGAAAGAATGAGAACATTCCAATTTGGCCCTTGCCACAGTGTCCCGTCCCCACCCAGCTGTTTTTCCCCACTACCTCTTGCATATGACTTAGCTCCTAACTATTCCTCACTATGGTTCTTGATAAAATCCAAATTTCCCAAACAGTGGCTGCTAATCTGCAAGAACAATTCCTTCCTGAGAATCATCCTTAATCAACTATTTCTGAAACTAGCTGAACTCCAGCTGAGCCCCCTTGCTAAAGAACTATTCAGCAGTCTACCCTTCTTCCCCAAGTTAGAAGGCTTCTTCACTATCTCATGTCAGGCATTTCCTAATAAAGACTTCTGCAAACAGTTCTCTGGTTGTTTTTCTTCTTCGAAAGTATTTTAGATAGTAAATTCTATCATAGATCAAGAAGGACAAGGTTTTCTAAATTGGGTAATTAGAGAAGATTAGAAAAAGCAGGCCTTGAAATGTGAGCCTTAAAGGATTTGTATGATTCGGAAATACTGTGAGATGGGGACAGAGGGAGCAAATAATCAATAGGATAAAAATATACCATGCAAATTTCTCTATGACTAGTGAAATTAATAATCAAGAATGACAGCAAAATAAAGGCATTTTCAGACATATCGGGGCTCAAAGTTTATCACCTGGATTACTTTTCTGAAAGAAGTACTTAAGTAGGTACACCAGCAAAACAAAAAATATGGGAAAGAATAAAGTTTGGGATGCAAGAAACCATAATGAACAAAGAAAACAAAAATCTTTATAGTAAAATCTAAATAACTGCTGATGTACAGTGTTTTCAAATTAAATAACAAAGCATGTTTATAGGCAATGGGATTGGACTAGAGCAGACTCATCTCTTTGCCTTTAATAGTGACAACAATGAGTAATGAGCTTGGAGAGGCAGGCTGGGGCTTCATTGTCAATGGCTTTACAAATTTGTGCAGGTCTTCCCTATTATTAAAAAGAATTTCCAGCTGGGCGCAGTGGCTCACACCTGCAATTCCAGCGCTTTGGGAGGCTGAGGCCAGGAGTTTGAGACCAGTCTGGGCAACATAGTGAAACCTTGTCTCTAAAAAAATAATAAATTTCCTCTGAACCCAACACCTCATCAAACTATTGCATCTCTTCTTTCATTCATTGGTCAATTACATACTGCCTCACTCCCTTATTCTATATTTGCAAAAGGCTTCCATTACCTCACCCTACTGCAAATGTTCCCTTGAACTCCTAAGTCTGAACTTCAGTGATCTTTCTCAGTTTTCATCCATGAAATCCCCACCCCCCTCTCTGTTTGGAACATTGCTGCCTACTCTTTTCTTTTTGAAACTTTCCTTTTGTTTGGCTTTTATAACCCAATTTCCTTCTACTTCCTCTGTCTCTGTGGGTTCCTCATTTTGGTCCTCTTCCTAAATATGGGCACACCCCAAAGTTATATTCTCAGTTCTCTCTTCACACTCTGTAAATTCTCTTTCCCCTTTGGTTAATTCATCCATATCTCTGGCCCTTCCCCTTTCTCAAGCTGAATCTAATATTTCCAACATTGCCATCTGGGTATCCTCCTGTAGTTCATATTCAACACATTAAAATGAAACATCACTTTTTCTCTGAAACATGATCTTCCCAATTCTATTATTAGCATCATTATTCTGCCAGTATCTAGACAAAAAACCTGTGAGTGGTTTTTCAAACCTCTTTCCTTGTCTACCGAATACAGTCATCAAGTCCTATCAATTTTCCTCTCTGATATTTCTTGTACTTTTCTTTTATTCCTACTGCTTCCAACCCATATCAAGTTCTCATTACTTGCCTAGAATATTGCCAACGTACCCAATTTACACCCATCACCTGGTTCCAAAGCACTTCATATCTAAGACCCCAGTCACCTTTCTAGCCTTGTATTCTGGAATACCTTACACTTAATTAAATTGCAATTCTTTGTTACCCAAGCAGGTTCTGTCCTTTTTCATTCTTTGTTTTTGCACTCTTCACATCTTTCCCTTTATTTGAGACCACGACTTTGAGTGAGTTAATAATCTTTCTATTAAGCAAAATCTTTGGA